CACCAATTTTGTTAGGTCTCGAATATCACTGGTTGAAATACAGTTCATATTTTTTTCTGGTCCCATATCATGCTTCACTGTAAACGTAGTTTGATCGTGATGTCTTTCTTCTCTCTGCCATCGAATTAATTGTTGTCAAACAATGTGGATTTGGATTAATCTGTAAAAGCACCCTCTTCCAATTTTTTGTTCCATTGTTTGAAGTCTGGTGTCTATTTTAACCTAATCACTTTGTGCTAATAGGTATTTTGCTGTTCTGGGGGTAATGTACACCAGTAATTATAGCTAGATCTTTACTTGATTGTCGTATATTACGTAAAGAGCATACTCCGAGTTATTTAACATAATTTTTGAAGAGTTTGGGTTTTCTACCTCAACTCTACTAGTTTCACGTGTCCTCTTCAGAGTTTCCATACAGCCACCACTGAAACATGAAACTTCGCCCCACTTGACTGTATGTCGCAGCCCTCACGAGCCAAAACTTGTATTTCTACATGTTTGTCATGTGCAATTTTTATCCTGGAAGCCGTGAATAAATTCACAGCACTACTTTTAGAAATACCTTATCTTTTATAGAAATTATACTGGAACGGCATTGTCTGATTGGTTAGATGACAACCAGTCCTTACTGTATACTATTAAATGTGACTGTACTCTATCGTAGTTAGTTTTCATACAGTAAAGGGAGAACAACACGATAATATTTACCTATTATACCCATTTTATTAATTGTTTTAATAATTATTTTGAATGCTGTATATTAATCTAATACAAGCACACATATATATATTCATACCTGTCATCTGATTCCTTACATATACCAGTACGTGCTACCTCTCCCTCTATAGAATATCAGCAGTTAATTAACCAACCCAATATTTAGTATTCCAGGTTTTGTTAGCTGATTATTTATATAGAATGTCACATGTCTGTTGACCTAACTTTTATATAGCATACCACGTCTCACATAGCCGACTTCCTATGTAGATAATAATATCTCTCATTTCACCTCGGTAAGAATAAGCAAATGATATAGTTTAAAGATAGGATGACAATCGATTTAAGAAAGATTTTTTTTCTCCAATCAGTAACAAAAACTGGGAGCTTTAAGCTCTAAGTTTATGGAAATTAAACTACATTTTGATCAAAGACAGTTTACCCACATAGATCAGAACTAAAATTCAATCCTGTAATGAATATAGCTAATTCAATATACATACTGTTTTTAAGTTTTTATTTATAATGATTAGATTGCATTGTTTCATCACTTGTATAACCTTGTAGTTAGCGATATTTTTGGACGTAATCCCAATATCTCACGAGATTCGGCCATCTTAGGAGATTTAGATAAACTCTAACACTGTATACTAAGCTAACAATGTAAAATAATTATATAATATAATTGTGTCAATAAAATGAATAAAAATAGATTTATTAAAGATTCTAAACAACGCTGTTAATGAAAGTAACAATAAAGAAATAATAGAATATAGCCTACTTATAACACATATAAACACTAGTGGTTTACTTTATGCACTTCATGTTCCTCCCGCCCTTCCTTTAGATACTTAATTGTATATCTTCATAAACATATCAATCTTCCTTTGAATGATAGCTTATCTTCCTCCAAAAATATGTCAATCTCTCTTCAGATAAATGTCTATCTTGTTTCAAAAATATGTTAATTTTTTTTTCAGATACACATATATATATGTTTTGCCCCCCCCCCCCAGTGGCACAGCGGTATGTCTGCGGACTTACAACGCTAGAAACCGGGTTTCGATACTCATAGTGGGCAGAGCACACATAGTCCATTGTGTAGCTTTGTGCATAAATTAAAACAAACAAACAAAACCTATTTTGTGTGTGTGATTGGGAAATCGGTAAAACACGAATGGCTTCTTTATACGTGATCAGTTGGATATGTACATATAAATATATATATATATAATGATTAATATTATACTAGTACAGTATAATTACACACATTATTGATAAATACTAACTAAATACTCAATTCTTCTTTAAAGGTTCATTAATATTACTAGTATAATGTATAAAATAAGTTTGAATATTACTATTTATATTTTACACTTACGAAGATGATTTTGCTCCGTTAGCTTATTATACGGGTTTAGAACTAACCCAAAACTCCTAAACTGGCCGAACCTCGTGAGTTATTATTGACATTAATTCCCACATTATCATTAACGGCGAAAGAACCTAACAGAAGATCCGGTACATGCTAATCATGATAAGTTTTTGATATCCTGTGTATTATTTTATGACGTTAAGTATTTCTTGTCAGTTTATCTGATCAAAACGTTTTATGCAGAAAAACAACCAAATAATTATAAAGCGGTCAGCAATGTGAAGCTTGATATAATAATAATAAGAGATAAGTTGTATAGGAGGGTAAACCATGTAAAGATGTAATGCAAAAATGGGCAAGCTAAACAAGAATAAATTGAGGAGTAATTGCTCTCTTTTTTTATTACAACTGGAACAAGAAGCAACACGAATGTAAAAGGGGGAGACCAAGTTTTCCCCATTTTTATCTTGTTTAACTTGCCCACTTTTACATTACATCTTTACACGGCTTTCCTTCCCATATAACTAGGTTCTTTATATATATATATATATCTTTATATGACTGACCTTTTTGTTCTAACTTAGCTAGTTTTATATCTGTAAAATAATTTGATCAAATACCACTAATGTTTCTGTAACCAATATCACCTGCTTCTATTATTTATAGGTGTTAGGAAGATGTAAAGTTTACACTTCATGAAATAGTAGTTTATACACCAAGATATTTTGTACGTAGAAGCTAATGAGTTCTATTAAACAAACTGTGGTCATTTTTATGTTTAAAAATGTTAAATAACTTTCTTAGAAAATGGTCATATTTTTTAATTACATTTACTGTATATTAGCACAACTATTTTGTAAAATAAATTAACATTATATATATCTTTATTAAAACCCGAACAAACTGCGTTAGTCCACTTAAGCATTCTGGAAAAGAGCAAGAAAACAAATGATCAAAACAGCAGTATTTTTACTATCTATCATTTTTATGTTTAAAAATGTTAAATAATTTTCCTTGAAAATTGTCATATCTTTTTTATTACATTTACTACGCCATTACAATTTCTCAAAATTTCCATAAGACCCTAGGCCATTAATTTATCAGTTTAATCTAATACCTGTGGAGAGCAATTCACCATTAAAGTTATAATAAAAAACAGATATTCATAATATCCTAATATGTGTTCTACAGTTGTCAAACCAACAACATTCCCCAAACGAGATTAATATCTACCAGTGGAATTTTGTTTCGTGCCCGTCCTCCTTTGTTTTCTATATGTTTTGCCTCTTCAACAGTTAGAAGAAGAACAATAATTATACTATTTTTGACTTATTATTTCTCTTAAGGTAAAATAGATATCAAGCTGCTGTTTTCAGCGTATTGTAAGAATGTTTAGAATTGTTCAGAAACATTAGAACAGCAACATTCCAGCATTTGGAACAGTTGTGACAATACCCCAGCGTATTGTAAGAATGTTTAGATATGTTCAGAAACATTAGAACAGCAACATTCCAGCATTTGCAACAGTTGTGACAATACCCCAGCGTATTGTAAGAATGTTTAGATATGTTCAGAAACATTAGAACAGCAACATCCAAGCATTTGGAACAGTTGTGACAATACCCAAGCGTATTGTAAGAATGTTTAGATATGTTCAGAAACATTAGAACAGCAATATTCCAGCATTTGGAACAGTTGTGACAATACCCTAGATTTGGCCACAAGTCCAGTCCTGTGTATATGCCTCAGTAAAGAGATTCCACCTTGGCTGGAGTCACTAAATTGCCTCTTGATGGAATTAACTTCATTAATCTATAGGTTACTTTTTAGTTCTGACCTATACAGCTAGTTTACTTTTAATCAGAAGTTATTAATTTTTAATGCACAAGTTCAAAATTAAACAAAATTATGAGAAAAAATAAGAAATTAAATAAGGTATGAGAATTATCGTTGTGGCAAATGATTCAGAATGTTATTTAGAATATATGTACAAAAAATAACAAACGTTATGACCACAGCATACTGCAGGTTTAGACCAAACTTTCAGTTACAACTACAACATCTACTTTCGATTAATTTGAGTGTATGAAAATGAACGCAATGCTGCTGAATTTTATCTGATGGTGTCTGATGCATTCCCTCTTGCACGATATCTAATGAACACTCATATTCCATTACTCGTTAAATTACAGTCATTTCCTGATCGTGCGAAGAGTCGACGAAGAAATTTAAGCTTTATTCTTTTTTTATCTTCACTTGTCTACATCTATTTAAGTATATATATATATACACAGCACATACATACACATCAGAAAAGATATAGATAAGTACTTATTTATGTTTATAGGAAAACAAGAGTAATTACGAAGTCAGAAGAAAGGAAACGTGTTACAAAAGTAAATTAAATCAGCGGAGGGGGGGGGGAGAGAAGATAAATTATTATAACTAACATCTTGATAACGTTAAACCACTTTATGTTGTTTTTTAATTACTTCGTTCCTAAGCATTTGAAACAATTTGTGTGTTTCACTGCCTGCATCATAATGTTTGAAGTTTTATCGGTAACAAGACTGAAACGGAAACAAAGTTCATTTTAGTTCCCGTTTTTTATATAATTGTAACATTTAAATACACCACTGATCATTTATACGACCATGAATTTGTTTAATAAACATGCTGAATCAATAATTCATTTGATTAACATAGAAAATACACAATAAGATCAACAGAATCCTTGCCTTAAAATAAGTTAATACCGTTCAAAGATAGGAAGCGAAACAAAATGAAGCAGGCTGATGCAAAAAAATTATGTTTTTTTTTTTTTACCTAGAATTTTGATAATACATTATCTGTTAAACGATTTACAGAAGGGATTACAAAAAAAATATTTGTTTCAATTTTATCACAGGCTGCGGAACCGGGAGGACAGTGGGGGAAAGTTCCCCAAAATTTGACCAGGTAACGTAATATCCCCCTGAATAGAGAATAACGATTTGTGTATAATTATCATGCAAAGTCATTGTTTTAACTTTAACGATCACTCTTAACTAGCAAATAAGGTGCCCATACATTTATGATTGTTCATTGTTAGACAATTTCACATTATTTGTTCACTGTTGTTAAGAGAGTTTTATTACATCTGTTCAGTATATTATGCACTTTTAGTCAATCTGTTCATGATGTTAGTTAAGTTTTTCATTCGTATTTAAGGCACCAGAAAAACATTACTGTTAGTTAATAGTTCGGTGATACCCCAAGTCGAACTTTAAAAAAATTGTAGTAAGTTTGTTGAACTATTTCTTTGCGTGGATGAGAGGCTCTCATTATCTGAAAAACTTATTTTTCAAAGTGTGAAATTATATTTTCAAAGGTATGTAAATTCTAATTTTTTTATCCTTTTTAAGAGTCTCCAAACACTTATAAGTCTGCTATACTTAGGTATTTATCTTGAAAGAGTTGATTAGACTGTTAATTCAGATCTTTGTACCTCCAAAAGTCTTTTTAAAAGAGCTTGATAATCTACGATTCATTGGTTTTAAAACTTACAAGACTTCCTATTTTACAGTATTTTCGTAATACAAATAAAGAAGCTTCTTTTGTAAACGACACTATATCAGTTGAGGTGTTAGGTAAAACCATTACAACACGCTATTCAACAACGTATCAGTAAAAAAGAGCGCGTGCAGAAATAAGCGCTCAACTGTCACGACGACCAAACGTCAAGAGAGCTTCTGAACAATTCTCGAGCGGAAAAGCTCGAGCCGGTCGTGATGGCTTCGGGTAAACGCGTGATAACCTCTAGCTTCATCGTGAGGTTTTAGAGACGATATCTTTAAACATCCGTTGTGATACTTTGTTCCATTGTGTTTCAGACTTTACGTAAAGTCTCAATCAGAGCTCTGTATATTGTGTTGAGTTTCAAAACTGATACTGATATGCAACGTAAAATGATCTAAGTAACAATACATTATTATTATGAATCCAGCAACCTTTTATAGCTCTGTTACCTTTTATATCATTAAGTATCAAGATCATAAAGAGTTGAATTTTAAACAGGAGTGATAAATATATTTGAGGGTAGTAAAAAGGCTTAGAGGTTGCCGTCTATTAGAACACGTGGCAACATTCTATGTGTAAATGGTCGTAGGGGTTACCTTGTAATATCTTTAAAATTCTAAATTTTGCTTCAGTCTATTAATATCATGAAACGGTAAGGTGAACAATAGTTATAAAATAACATAAATGTATAAGATAAAGCTACATGTTTTTTCGTTGTAGTTATCATTGCGCAAATCCAAATAGAAATCAAAAACCTGATGTGCATAGTTGCTTTAAACGATTTTTCTAAGTATAGATCCTGGCTGATGATCAGAAATTAGATTCGCCTGATAAAGGAGGAGGAGAATAGGTTGAAAATAACAACTTATTAAAACCACAGAATAAAGGCTATATATACTTCAAAAAATAGAACGAGGCTTTTAAAATTCGTGAGTAGTATTATTTATACATATTTTACTAAAATTAAACGGTGGAATTGAGAGGGACTGTTGAAATGTTTTTCAGTGTACAAGCTGTTAAGTATGATAATTTCGAATGGTCTGAAAACGAGCTAAATGATAATTTAAATTTAGTAGTTAAATATATACCGATATATCTCCAATTTATGATATTTGCCACCAAGATTGATACACACAGTTTTCTTTTTTAATGCAAATATGTTTTAATATACAAACAACAATACAATTTACAATAACAGTTATTACAAATAGTCATTACACACAATGATTTATGTGCAAACATTTTACAAACTTACAAGCAATATAAAGTCTTCTTTCTAGTCTGAAACTTCCTTGATATCTTATCGAGGATTCACGATGAGCGAGTTAATTACGAGTTGATGTAGGTACAATTTGGTTAACGGAGAGCTAGCCAGCTTTGTCTTTCGTTATTCACCAGCCACACACGCCGAGTTTTCCACCGTGAAGTTATATAATGTTTTCGTAAACATACTTATGTCCGATGAGAATCCACTGAAGTTAAATGATTTGTAATGTTCGAACTTTGTAAAGGTTCCTGGTCAAATATCTGAATTCTTTCGATTGATACGCATTATAACAATCACAGTTATAACTTTCGAAGTTTATAGCACACTAATTATAGCAAACTAATAATATATACTCGTTTTTGGCACGTCGCGTTGGTTATATTTATAGGCGTGTGGAGAGTTTCTCGAAAATTCATATTATGTAACAATACAAAGCTACATTAAGCGTTTATGTACATACATATATTGTTGATTCTTGCACTCGAGAATCTTCTACAACTTTGGAGAATAGGCGGGAGTTTCGCAATACATATTTAGCTGTATAAGTTATGTACACTTGTATAAATAAATCTAATTCAAGCAAACATCAATATTAAAACAAATATATAATAATAAATCCGCTACAAAGCTTAATTATATGGCTGATAACCTTTTTATTTGTTTGTTGTACACAATGGTTTTGTACTCACAGCGTCCTTAATAGCATTGGAATCATACTCACCCCAAAGTATAGGCAAAACTACCATCAGTGTTGTAATTTATCCAACTAATTTAAACAGTTTTTTTGTAAGTTCATTACATTAGCGTTGTAACGGGAAGAAACATACAATTTCACTGGTAGCGAAACAAATCGGTAAATGGAGGGCTAATAAACCCCGAGTTTCAACTGAACTGTTTATTTTGCCCCGAAATTCAAATAGGTTGTATTTAAAATGAAGTTAATCCGTGTGAATAAGAAGCCGTAATGAAAACTAATTGTCTTGTGAAGATTATTTAAAGATAAGAACAATGTGGCTGATGATTAACTACAAAAAAAATATTAACCGTGAAGCAATCCTAATGTTCGTGCTATTTAAACTTCACTAAAAATTTGTCATACTTTCTTGTTTGTTAAAGGAATGAATGAACCTGAGAAGAGCATATTTGGTGTCGTCCTATGCGTGACTGGTGTTTTGGTTGCAGAAAACGTGCTCAATTTTCTGATATTAAGTCCTAGATTGTGTATTTACAAAGAACTGTTATTGTGTGAGGATAATAATGAAGGAGGTACACAAACGACCAGAACGCATCAGAGTACAAAGTATAGCTTATATAAGGAAAGCTACAAACAAACTAGTTAATAAAGAATGTATAAATATCCTTACTCATTTTCAACAAAGTAGACGACTCCTTTGAAACAATTTATTCGTGAAAGGTAGTAATTGTTCTATAATCACACAAGAAGTAAAAGTCTTACATTTAAGGTTTTCTTATGATCCTTGTGGCCGATCAAAATTATCATTATTATTTGAAAAACCCTATATAAAGATTGTTCTCTGCCTCTCCCCCCCCTACCTTCTCCTAATCACTAACCCTCCTCCCAGTCGTAAACACACAATAATCTCTTTTTCTTTATTCCTCGGTCCTCCATCTGTTGCCTGATAATCTAATATCAAAATATTTTTTTAAAATAATAAAAGACAAGAGAATGTTGAAATGATTGCAATCCAATAATAGCTACCATTATTTGAAGCTTCTCTTACATGCCTACTCACAAAAAAGAGCTATTATAGTTGGTTGGAAGTGAACATTGCTTTTTTCTTTTTAGTTCTTAACATCATCTGATCTATTCTTAAATTCTAACAAAACGTTACAAGGTCTTTTATTTTCAACTCATAATGTGGGTAAATTATTGATAAAATAATTGAACTTTCATATTCACGCTTATTGTATTAAGCCAATCTTATTGTTGGAAATGTAACTGAAAGTTTCTCGCCTGTTGTAATTGTATGTTACTTTGTACCTCACTATTGTTTTAATGACAGTTGGTATATTATTATTTTTTAAATGTTGTTTACTACAGTATTTTAAATTTTTTATTCTTATTATGTAATAATTAAAGTCGTTTCTGAAAGAATCAAAATCTCTCTCCTTACCAACATATTGAATGTGAAAATAAAACCAGATTAAATTAGTGTTTTGATTCAATATTACATTATCATTAAGTTTTTCGTGTTATTATATATATATTTGTTATGTATATCTTGTATCATTTTCAGTAGATCTTCTGACCCCCTATACATACAGGGCTGGAGACAATTGCCATACGTATAGCCACTGTTTTTAAAATGCATCAGTTTTAATAGTTTCAAAATGCTTCAGTTGAAAATGTACCGCACTTTATGAAAACTTAAGTTTTGTGGTTTGTAAAAGAGAAGTTTAGAATTAGCATCAGTGGTTAAGTTGAAACCGCATAAACTATTTCTCAGTAAAAGAAATATTTAAAGCAACTTTTTAAGTTTCATCAATAAAACAAAAATTACAGTGTACATATAAATGCCCGTTAAATGTAAAATATATTCATTAATAGCATTTTAAAACTAAAATTCTGCAGACAATAAGGTAGGTAAAATGCACACTTTAGCTTCTTCAGTTGTTTTTGTTTGTAGCTAAGCACAAAGCTGCACAATGGGCTATCTGTGCTCTGTCCACCGCGAGTATCAAAACCCAGTTTCTAGTGTTGGAAGTCCACAGACATACCGCTGTGTCACTGGAGAACTTCTTCAATTGAAAAAAAATGTTTAAATTAAGTCTTAAAAATGAAACACAAAAATCAAATTTAAACATTGTTGACTGAATTGATAAACATCCTATAAAATCGAAAAAACCCCATTAAAGTACTAATTTTTTAATCTTCTGATTTTTTAATAAGTAGATTCATAGCTATTGTGCGAAATTTGAGTCTTTGATGTTATCATCAAAATATATCGATATCAGTTTTAATTTTAAATGATGATAAACCTGCTTTTAAAACACTTTATTTTCACTCTATTTTATATAATAAAGTGACCAGATATATTTCATCAAAACTAGATATTATATCGGAGTTTCTGTGTGAGGGAAAGGATAAAAATGCCCTATATCGGGAGATTTTGTGAGTTCATTTAATGGTAAGTGGGAACAATGGAAAAAGAAGGTAAGAAAATTACTACTTTGAACATCATTCTTAACTAGCTCTTAAAATCATAACCCACTTCCATGTAAAACTGGTATTTGAACAAATAAATAAGTTAATAACAATAACAGTGAAAGTATGAGAACATATTTGCAATTCTAGTAACATCACGACATCTATACGATACTTAGGAAAACATGCACTAAGTCTTTTTCCACAACAAAGAGCCCTCAGTAGCACAGCGGTATGTCTGCGGACTTACAACACTAGAATCCGGGTTTCGATACCCGTGGTGGGCAGAGCACAGATAGCCCAGTGTGTAGCTTTGTGCTTAACTAAAAAAAAAAACACAACAAAGGTGCTTCAAACTTGAATTTTGATAAATAAATGACACTTTTTGGGACAATTTTCTTGTAGGAACACTAATCTATGACCAATAGTGCTCCCAAAGATCGGCTTCAGCTGACCGTTTTATTTTTATGGTGTCAGTGACATACTACTGTTTAATATCCGAACCCGAAGAACTTATTAATCTTATATGAAGTGATTATACCGTTTTACCTTGAATTAAGTAAGTTCTATCACAAGAAATAACAACCACAAAAGATCATAGCATTTTCTATAGTGTGTACATTTGAAATGATTTCCAGCAGTTTCATAAGTTAATGAAAATAACAAGTAATGCCAATAAATATATATAGAAACATAGGGAGATGGTGGGACAAACGAACAGACAGACAGATAGACCTTTACTGCCATACATTCTGCTATACAGAACTTGACGCTATTTAAGAAAACAAAACTTCACAACATTTTTTGAATAAGTACTTGTCTCAAATAAAATAACTCATTTAGAAACACCAAAGAAGTAGACAGTTTAGAAAGCATTTTTTCGAGAAAATTCGGATAATTACAGCATCATTTTAGTGATATTGTAATGCTAACCTGCTACATAGAATTAATAGAGCCACGGTGCCATAATGAAAACCAGTTATTGCTACAAATGAGTAAATGTTCGCATACAGTAAAAAAATATGAAGTCTCTTGAAAACCCACTGTACTTTCTGGTATGCTTTGATTATCTTCAGGACAAGTAGCTACAATGAGTTGACAGACACAATGCCTAGTTTGCTGTCATTATCTCTCCCCTTTCTCTTCCACAGTTCCTGGCTCCCCTTCCTGTTGATGACGCAGCTCAGTAAAGCTGAACCGGCAGGAACGCTGCTCCAGACCAATTGCCCTTACTATGTGCCACATAATTTTAGGTAGTAATGGCGCGTTTGAAGCTGGCTGTCAACTCGGGAGCCTGCTGCAGAAGTTTTTGTCAGTCATCAGAGGATTAGTTGATCTTTGACTCTTTTCACGTTTGCCCTTGGTGTTTTTTTTTCCATGATTTTTTTTTTCTGTGCCGAACTGTTTAATAAATCGACAGAACGTGCTTCGGTAACGAGTCATAACCAGCTTAAGGTATTTTATTTATATAGGCTGTCCCCCAGTCTTTGAGGACTTACACTTGTACCCAAGAGTGGAATGGCCTCATCATTCGTGGCTGCGCTGCGCGTGCAGCTGTAATTGCTACTTCCGTTTTGAACATTTACAAATACATGAACATTTCCACTGCTAGCTGTTGTACTGCGATCCGGAAGGGTCAGTGGAATGAAATATCTAATCACAGAAAATGTGACATGTATATCACATATCAACTGACTAGGATTAATCACAGAAAAGTGTCATATGTATATCACATATCTACTGACTAGGATTAATCAGAGAAAAGTGTCATATGTATATCACATATCAACTGACTAGGATTAATCACAGAAAAGTGTCATATGTATATCACATATCTACTGACTACGACTAATCACAGAAAAGTGTCATATGTATATCACATATCTACTGACTAGGAATAATCACAGAAAAGTGTCATATGTATATCACATATCTACTGACTAGGAATAATCACAGAAAAGTGTCATATGTATATCACATATCTACTGACTAGGA